CCAAATTAAATGTTTACTTATAAAATTAGCAAAAATATCTAATGCTTTTATCAACTAATGTATGTGCACTCTCAGCAGCACCATTTTATTACATTTACAATATTAGTCTACCAGGAATCATACATATCTTGCATGATTCCACAGAATCAATGCAAATATTATTTGCATTGGCCAGAATCAGTGCATCCCTAGAAAAAAGTCTTCAGTTCTGATTGATTGTACACATGCTGTTGTGAAAGCATATAGGAAACTCACCTCTCTTTCTGTCTTTTGTGTGACAGAAGAAGAAGGTCCTGCAGGAGGCAGCACTGTCCCTTCTGAGGAGTGACAACACTGTGTTTGACAAGGCCCTGGTGCTCTGCCAGATGCACAACTTCAAGGAAGGAGTGCTGTATCTGTATGAAAAGGGCAAACTGTAAGCAATTTTTCTCATTTTCTTATCACTGTCAATCTCACTTACTCAGAAAGTGCTATTTGAGTTATCTACCTGACTTCTAAGGACACCTTATTTGCAACATGGAAGTAAGCTACTTCCGATTTATTATCTGATATATATATCATAACTTGAAAAATAGCAAAGTGAAGTAAATGGTAAAACTATTTACCACTAAACTTGTGCTACAAACCAGTGTGTTTAAGATAAAGAATTAAAATGTTATCATTCACACCAGTTTGCTATGTAAAGCAGCATAAAATAACTGGAAGCAGATGACACCAAAAGCCTCGCACATTCAAGTTACAAATTGCTGTGACCGTTCTTGCATGATTATGGATAAATTGAGATTGATGATTTTTTTTGTTGTTGTTTCAAATAGAGATTACAATTCTTCCACGATTCTGCACACTAAAAACTCCAAAATAACAGGCCATTTACTAGAGATTATGACAAAATGTTAATGTATTTAATTAATTCGAATGATTCAATGACTCACCCATAAGGACTTCACTTGTTTCAATACTGGACGAATCAGGGTTTTTGAACAGTGTCTTGAATGAACGATTCAATGACAAATAGTTGTTTTAAGTCACTTGTCGCCACCTACAGGTATAACGGTGTAAACGAAACAATCATTATTTGAAGCTTCAAGTTACTTTCAAAAGGTGATTTGCTCTATTCGATTGCTACCGTAGACATCCGTGTTTATATCTGAACTATAAACGTATAAACTTTTGTATTTGTAATAAACACTGAGATGCTGAAAGACTGTAAAGTTGTTGTAGCCTGTACATTATAACTGCTCTCTTTGGGTCAGCTGCAGCGCAACACAGATTTGAGATTTAATAGACAGCTAAATCGTTATCACTTAGGAATAAGATCACATGGGTGTTTGAACGATTTAACGGTTAATTGAGCAGCTCTACTGCAAATTTACATTTACCTTTAATCTAATAAAAGCAAAGGACATCGTGACAGAACTGTTTGTTTCTGCAGGTACCAACAGATCATGCATTACCACATGCAGAATGAAGAGTATGGGAAAGTTGTGGAGGCCTGTAAGCGCTATGGTGACAAAGAGGTGTGTTTGTGGGAACAGGCGCTAGGCTATTTTGCACGGAAAGAAGAGAACTGCAAAGCCTACATTAGTGAAGTCCTGCAGCACATTGATGAAAATAACCTGATGCCGCCTCTTCTGGGTGAGTAATGTGTCTTAAAAAAGGCAGAAGAAGGTCATGTTCTTGACCTTTCGATGAACTCCAGTATTGCAATATTGTGCATTTTGACCTTATGTGAGTGTCTGTGTTGCAGTGGTGCAGACTTTGGCCCATAATTCCACAGCATCTCTGTCAGTCATAAAAGACTACCTGATAAATAAACTTGAGAGGGAGACCTCACAGATTGAGGAAGACGAAAGGAAGATTCAACAGTATAGAGAGGAGACGACCAATCTACGTGCTGAGATAAAGGAACTTAAAACCAGGTGAGTGAAACGAGCTGTGCCAAATGACCAACCGTGAGGTGTATGAATTTTAAAAGGTAATTTTGTCATTCAACATCAGACTCTTATAGCCACTTTCCTTCTGCGACAGTTCCACACTTTATATTTCAGTTAATTTAGTGCATCACTCGGGTATTTAAAGTAGAGTTTTTCTTTTTGAAAAATTTAGGCCACGTGTCCACCGAAACATTTTTCCACCTGCCTGGCGTATGTTTTCAAATTTTTTTTAAATGCCATGAGCGTAATGAGGCGCTAAGCATTTTTTTCACGCTGAAAAAAAAAAAAAAAAAAATTCATTTTTTTCAATGCCGAGCGCCCGGCATTTTGTACTGGTCTCCGAGAGTTGAAAAATGTTCAACTTTGAATAAAATGCAGCGCTCATCACTGACACTTTTTACCCACCCGTCCAATCACAGTGGAGGAGGGGCGGGACTAAACCACACTGACCAACTGTCACAACATTCTTTCTGTACGACATCAACCAACAGAGTTAACTGAAAAAAATGGATGAAAAATAAAAACAAATTATGAAACAAATTATCTGCGAAATCAGTTACAAGTAAACTGTGCTGCGGAGAAAAAACACTCTCAAGCGCCCAAAGCACGGCGTCTTCAGCAGAGCGTCTGGCGTTTTCAGCTGGCTAAAAACGCTTTGGTGGACACACGGCCTTATGCTACAAAATGTCATAGAATAGTGCATAAGTACGTAAAACTGTTGATTCATTCATTTCTGAATGGCATAAAAAATGTATGCCACAATTGATCAGTCAGAATCAAGTATTGTGGTATGCGGAGTAAGCTGCTCACGTTGCTTTTTCAGTGCAAAGATCTTCCAGAAGACCAAGTGCAGCATGTGTAACAGCCCGCTAGAGCTGCCGTCTGTGCACTTCCTGTGTGGCCACTCCTTCCACCAGCACTGTTTAGAGAGCTTCGCTGAGAGTGAGGCCGAGTGCCCCACCTGCACCCCTGAGAACAGGAAGGTGATGGACATGTTGCGTGCCCAAGATCAGAAACGAGACCTGCATGACCATTTCCACAGACAGGTGCTGATTTTTCCCCTGCAGTCTTGAATTGATCAAAAAACAATGCAAATGAAAGTTGGATGAATTAAATGGTCTTTTCTCTCTCTCTCTTTTAGTTGAAATGCTCTAATGATGGCTTCTCAGTCATCGCTGATTATTTTGGCCGTGGAGTGTTTAACAAACTCACTCTGATAACGGATCCTCCTGGAGGAAAGAGTGGAGCTGGGAATCTGGAGGCTGAATTCAACAGAGATCTGCTCATTAACACCAAGAGGAATGTTTGAGAGCTGGACTAGAGTACACTTTAAACGAATTATTGGTCTAGGGTCTGATAGCTGACTCTTGGTTTGCTCCAGACACAGCTCTACACTACTTGGAACAAATCCAGATTAAACTTTGCAACTCACAGCTCGTGCAGAACCTCTCCATCTGTGTAGACTTCAAGATCAGATAAGCATAAAGAGGAAAATATCATATCCGCTGTTGTTGACAGTAAGACGGAACTCGCACTTCAGGGCTGTGACCTTTACAAGCTTTTTAAAACAGCTGCCACAGGCTTTATTTTGCATCCCTTGATAATGTATGTATAACATTTAATCAGTATTTAAGCCACTCATTACTGCACATAAAGCAATTAATCAACAATAATGAAATGCCTGTGAAAGAGTCATTAATAAATGTAAAACATTATCATTGATTATGTTGTATTTACACGTCTCAGATGTCTAAGATTTGTCATGAACTAATAAAAATGTAATATTTACACAGCATTTTACATTGCAAGTGCATATAGCATGTGAAAATATGTGTAAAAAATGCATATAAAAAAAAAAAAACGAAGCAAATTTCTACAAATAAACCCTCATGGAATAGTTTCAGGTTTGCTAAAGCGATTTAGGGGGTTGAAAGTAATGTGCTACATAAAACTGCTGAACCAGCCAGAAAAGAGTCTGAGAACCACATCCTGTTCACAAGAGCAGATCCATGGCACTACTGTAACTGCTGTATGTCTGAAGTCTGAATTTATTCAACTCTGATTATTTTTTTATTTTTTTCAAAACCAAATCACATATTTGAAAAGTTTCCCTCGATATGTCGAAACTTTGGAAATGCTGTCCCCTAGCTAGTGAAGAGTTCCCCTATCATCAGCATTGTTGATGGTTGGTATATATTTTTTTCTATGTTTATGAAACCAATGACCATTTTATGAAGCTCTGCTTATCTTTGTGACTCAAATCATGAATCTCAGCCGTTTTCATTGTCAGTGTTACGGTAAAAAAACAAGCACGAAGAGAATAGGTCACTGAAATAATAAATGTTATGTCCTCCTTGCTACTACAGTGCATAATGTTTTTTAGTTTTTCTGTTCTTTTTCACTATCTCACAATGGTGGCACAAAGTGTCTCTTATTCAGAACAAACACTTGTGACTGTAAGCTTTTGAAGTTTATCAGTAATTTTTTTTTTCTTTTTACTTTTTTAATAAAAAGTTTTATTAGGATTAAAAATTTTACAAAAGAGCGAAAGAAAGCAAAATATTTATCATCAGTAATCTTTTAGGGATAGTTTGTGCACTTTTACCCACATTGCTTCTTGTTTTTCAGTCTGCATCAAACTATCTGTGAATATTGTGGAGTGGAAAAAGAAACAATTGTGCACAGCACAGTGCATTTATTGCATTTACTCAACATTATTTTGGAAGGATTTAGAACCCAATATTAACAGAAATTTGTCTAGTTGATGTTTCTTTTCATTTAGAGTGGCATTATGCAATTATATATTTTATTTGGATAATGCAATACACAAAAAGAAGTGGGCTCGTCGCAAACTATGTCTTATATTTTAAAAATGACTTTAAAATTATATTTCGGAACAAACTAAAAACGTAATGTTTTAAAAACACAGAAATTGATGTTATTATTCTGGCAGCTAAAGTTGTTAATGATACGAATCTTCATCTGGCATAGAAATAAAATAAAATCTGAAATAAATAGTTCAGTGCGTCTGACAAACTGATGTTTCACGCACTTCCGCTGAACATCTCGCGAGAACAAGTTTCCTTGGCAACAATACACGGTGTTTTAATGGAGAGGTCCGAGCGACAAAAGGTTTGTTGTTATTATAGCGCAAATCTCATTAATTACGGCGTTGATGCCATAGTACATATGTTAGAAGACTATATAGAACATGATATTGCGATTTATTTTTTTGCCTCAATAATGAGACGTGGGCACTGAATCAATGTAGCGCGAGAGTTAAACACTGACGAGCTGCAGTAAAACAGTTTATCACATAGTTGCTTTCTAAAACTATCATAAATCCCATCATAAGCGAAACTGCCAAACTACTTCAGCATTTAACGTTCAACCTTCAACTTCATTGACAGCATTTATAGTGCATCATTGAAAGTCAGCAGCTTTTTCTGTACCATTGCTATGTCTGTTCAGAATGAAGTGTGGTTAGGCAGCAGCTCTATATGTTCATAGAGACTCAGTTTTAGTACAAACTAAAGTTCAAATAACTCTTCTATCAGATTCAGCTCACAACCAACCAGCCATACGACGAGAGTTTTGAGGTGAACGCAGACGAGGCCTCCAGCGTTCACACACCATCCCCACGACAGAGAGGTGACACATCTAAAACACTTTTTTTATATTTGACCCGTCACCTTACCATTCACCAACTGTTTTTTTCTTCCTCATGCCAGTTTCCAGGAGGGCGGGCAGGCAGAAGCTCAGCGCCATGGCCAGTTATGCTGGTGAGAAACTAGAAGACGACACTAAAGTAAGATTAAAGATAACTGGCTCATTTTCATGAATGCTTAAGTGAGGTTTTATTTACCTTACCTTTCATCTTACAACAGAGAAAGAAAGAGCCGCCACCTGGTGCTCATGGTACTGTGGAGAATGATGAAGAAGATGAGGAGGAAGAAGATGATGATGACGACGACGATGATGATGATTCTGATGACACAGAGTCTGATGAGGAGGAAGGGGAGCCTGGATCTGCTCCAGAAGGGTAGGGCTGTAAACTTGCACACTGAGAAAATATATTAAGGAGAAATAACAGATATACAGACTGAAATCAGATATACAGCAATAGCCCAGTCATTTTATAAAAAAAAAAGGTAGAACAAATTGCAACAGAAACAAACTCAACTGATCTTGTATCCTCAATATGTCCTGACGAATCCCATTAGGGGAAGTTTCAAAAAAAGACCCAGATAGGTGTATGAATATAGCCTATTCATACACCTATTCATTATTTTTCTCACGTGAATAGGGTAAAAATGTTAACCTTAAGATATCACCATGAAAATGACTGAGATGATTACTTGCATCAAGACAAACATTATTACAAGTTTTTAAAAATTGTTTGTTTACATGGACAAACGGTGCATAATCTAATTACGTATGTGCTAAGATCTAAACATTGGATAATAGCCAGGTGAAATTGTCTTGTTGTCTTGACATAACAGTATAAGGTCTGAATGGAACCCATTTAGGCTACCCTGATTATTATTAATACATAAGATGGGGTTTGGGCTAGGTCTGTTTGGACTGTTTCTGGGGGACAAGTCTGAGGGAAGAACAGGACACGAGTAAGGAGAATGCAGAAGACAAAAGGTAGGTGAAATAAAGTGTCTGGATCAATCAAATTAATGCATGTAGGAGAAACAAACCCCGTATGATGACATTTGTTTGCCTCTATAGTCTTTTACTGTAAGATGTCAACAAGACATTTTCACCTGGCTATACCCAATGTTTAAATATGCTGTGTTTTTATGCAAATTAGCACATACGTAATTAGATTATGCACCGTTTGCCCATGTTAACAAACAATTAAAAAAAAAACTTGCAATACATTTTTTGTTTGTCTTGATGTAAGTAATCAACTCAGTAAATTTCATGGTGATTTCTAAAGGTTAACATTTTCAAGTGGAAAAAAAAGATTGAATAGGCATGTGAATAGGATATATTTGGGTCTTTTTCAAAACTGTCCCCTAATTGGGATTCTAAGGGCTTTTTTCCCCTTACTTAGGACATACTGAGGATACAAAATCAGTTGAGTTTGTTTGTTGCAATTTGTTCTAGGTTGACCCCCATTTTGGCTTAAAATGTCTGGACGATAAGGAAGTGCGCATTTGTGCGTAAGAAGATGCAAATGTAAAATTTCAGTGTTTAACAAAAGTACTAAAAGCATTAAAGTTACAGTATTTACTCCAAAACTCAAGCTATTTTATTTTATATAGTGGTGTGTGTGTTTGACTCTGTTTGACAGTGCATATGACCCTGCCGATTATGAACACCTTCCTGTCACAGCCGAGATCAAGGAGCTATTTCAGTACATCACTCGGTGAGCATGAAACAACTTCTTACCACTTGATTTGCAACTGCACACGAAACTGACCCTTAACCCTCTTACACTGCAAATGAATGTTTCTTGAATAGCACCTTTGGCCCTGTGGACATTAAAAAAGAAAAACAACTCGTTACAAACTCTAATTTCTTCAAATAAAATCCTAGCTAAGCAATGTCTAACAGTGAATATACATGCAACTCAGGAGCAGACTTCCATGAAGATCTCAAAATATGTATTGTTTGATGGCATTCTCAGGTGGAAAATATGATGAAAATTACAGTTACATTTTTGTTTTTAATATAATGACAAACACGGTTTCTTTACCAGGGCTAATTAAACACAATCAAATAATATTTAGTTTGGTAATTATAGCTTGATTGGAAATGACTATGTATATAAATTATAATGAACTATAATATAAACACAATTATATACATATAATTACTACTTTACATTTTAATGTAATTAAATGTAATTTTAATGTAATTAGCCTTTTGGCTACTTCTACAACACTATACATTTATTTAAGTATTATTAGTGTGCATTGTCCCCATTAAATAAACCTGAAGTAAATACATACATAATTTTAATTTTGTTAACTAAATTAAGTGTAAAGTAAAATGAATTATATACATATAAATAGGGTTGGGTATCGAGAATCGAGTATCGATTGGAACCGAGACTAACTTTTCGTTTTTCCCGGAGTCGTTCAAAAGTTAAAATTTCGATTCCTAGTTTCGATATTCACAGTCCGAAGAAGAAACCGCTGGACAACACCAACGAAGAAGCGTCTACCGGAAGTGTTGGCATAACCACGCGAGTCGAACATGAGTACCTTACGTCGGCGATCCAAAGTGTGGCTTCACTTTTCTAAAAATAATGAAATCTCGGCAAAATGCAAAATTTGTGACAAAAGGAGTATTTTTACAGAAGGAGTATTTCCTTCAGAAAGGCCGTTGGTTAGCAAGGTTAGCTAAACTTTTTTGACCCTGCCTCTTAAAAGAATCGGAATCGAGAATCGTTAGGAAGCGGAATCGAAACAAGGAATCGGAATTAGAATCGTTCAAATTCAAACGATACCCAACCCTACATATAAAGTAATATTCAAATAATACACAATAATAATGTGACCTTCATATAACAAAAGGGGGAAAAAACATAAAACAATGCTTATAGATGAAGAAGCACACTTATTTGAGTTGTCGATATCTCATGGATTCTTACTGGTATTATCGAATGACTGTTTCCTTCAGATACACTCCTCAGACGATAGAGCTTGACCACAAACTGAAGCCCTTTATCCCTGATTTCATCCCAGCTGTGGGGGACATTGATGCTTTCCTCAAAGTGAGTGAACATTCAGGTGTGGTTCTGGTTTGAAAGTGTCAACTAACAATTTCTTTTATATGCTTTTTTTTTACTATTTGCATTCTGCAGGTACCACGGCCAGATGGGAAGGCTGACAATCTTGGTCTCCTCGTTCTAGATGAGCCATGCGTTAAACAGTCAGACCCAACAGTGCTTTCCTTGTGGCTGTCAGAGAACAGCAAACAACACAATGTCGCTGTGAGTCCTCACACACACACACACTAGAAGACTCATTAAAGAGCTTTGATGGTTGTGACCTGACAAGTGAAATGAGAATGTGATGCACATGTCTTTCACAGGAAGTGAAAGTTAAGAGCATCGAAAACCCAGAGAAGAACCCCAAAGCCATAGACAACTGGATCGAGAGCATTACTGAGCTGCACCGGTCCAAACCTCCAGCTACCGTACACTACACGAGGCAAGAACTGACATGAGTCAACCACGAACACTATAGAAAGCAGAGCATCTCATATTTTGTAACCAGTGTGGTGGAAATTCCCCATGCACCAGACTTAAGCTAAATGACATCTGCTTCGTTTCCTCCGAATCTGCCCTTTATGAACACTATTACTTAGAAATGAAAATAAAATCTCTAGTGCTCCACTAAACACAATCACTTGAGAATGGAAGTAAGCTCCATAAAAAGTCTAAAGTCCACTTCCTGGACGAAAACCGCACTGTTCCTCCCGAACCTCGGATTCTTGATTGGTTCTTCATATGCATAATTCTCTGTAAAAGCTCATTTGGACACATATGCAGACACACTTTGGCATATAAATATTAATCATAAAAGAAAAAGAAATGCAAGTTATGATTAATTAAAAATGTCCATGACACCAGTCTCGTATATTTCTTCAGACCCATGCCAGACATCGACAACCTGATGCAAGAGTGGCCGGCTGAATTTGAGGAGCTTTTGGGGAAGGTAAGCTTTTGAATAAAATATGGTTTGCTATATGATTCATCAAACCGTGTTCATCTTCACTTTCTGGTCTGTTCGCCAGGTGAATCTCCCCACAGCAGACATTGACTGTGATTTGGCTGATTATGTTGACATTATTTGTGGTAAGTTGGTCCATTGCATGTTTCTTGCATTCTCATCTTTGATGCTTTTGTTGGTTCTTGTAATGACTGTTCGTGTACCCTCAGGAATCCTGGACATCCCTGTGTACAAGAACCGAATTCACTCACTTCACGTCCTGTTCACTCTCTACTCTGAATTCAAAAACTCACAGGTTAGTTTTATATGCTCTACAATATTATAGGGTTAGTTAATTACTCACCCTCATGTCATTCATCTTCAGAACACAAATGAAGATCTTTTTGATGAAATCTTAGAGCTTTATTGACAGCTTCGCGACTGACAATTTGATGCTTCAAAAAGTTCATAAAGAAATCGTAAAACGAATCCACATGAATTTAGTGGTTTAGTCCAGATTTTCTGAAGAGACTCGATCGCTTTATATGATGAACAGATTTTAGGCTTTTATTCACATATAAACATTCGTCAACTCTCACATCAGTTGTGGTGAACAGAAGCTGAAGCATGTTCGCTCGATGTGTGTGGACCAATGAGGTTCATTCTCGTTCTTATTCCTTCAAAAAATTTGGACTAAACCGCTTTAATTCATATGGCTTAGCTTTACAATCTTTTTATGATCTTTTTGAAGCGTCAAAGTGGTTGTTGCGTAGCTGTCTATGGAGGGACAGAAAGCTCTCAGATTTTATCAAAAATATCTTGTGTTCCGTAGATGAATGACATGAGGGTTTTGATTTTTGGGTGAACTATCCCTTGAAATAAAATGTTAAATATAGGCTTACCCATCACAATCTGCAAATATTGATTTATTTTTGTAAAAACACAAGATTTTAAATGCTTAATGTGTGTGTGTGTGAGTGTGTTAATGGTTGCTGCATCTCTTTTGGGAGGTTGTACTTTTGCTAACCTATTTTTCCCCATTTGTGATTAGCACTTTAAATCTGTTGGGGAGGGCCAGAAGTCCGACACACCGCCTGCTTCACGGACAGCTACTGCTGAATTAGAAAGACTCACTTTGGATTGATATCTCCATCATGGCCTATTTTATTACATCCTGTTTTTTTCTAAGCTGTCATGTGACCACAACTGAGTTCTGTTAAGTGCTATTTTATTCATTACACTATGAATTCTTCATTTGATTGTGTTCTCACAACATGATTGTGATGCAATAATCACTACAATTGCATTTTAATAAAACTTATTTCCTCAAGCTTCAGACTGGAAGTATCTTCAAAATAATCTAATCTAATTGGCATTTACTCCTGCGTGAGAGTTGTACCTTGTATAGTTTTATAGTTTATTGATTGTTTTAATTGCTTGCTTGTTGTTGTTGTTTATCTGTTAATGTACAGCACTTTGGTCAACCTTGGTTGTTTTTAAATGTGCTTTATAAATAAAGTTTATAAAGCACTTTGTATTTATTTTTGTAAATAAATTTGGTATGGTATGGTATGGTAATCTACATATGATGGGTTTCCTTTTTGAGCTCACTTCCTCATATTAATAGATGTTTTGAATAAGAGCTGATCCAAACTCAGTAAAAGGACAGGACATACACTGTTAAATAACAGAAAGTACAGTTATTTACTGTAAATATCCCATAAAAATAATACTGAATTAAACCAAATCAACACTAAACAGTCAAAGTCATCTGGAGATTTAACAAAGCAGGATGACATCTTAACCATATATATATATTACATTTGAATGATAAACTGAATCAGAGCAAGTTTGTCCTTTATGAGTTATTGATCCGATATACTGCGTTAAATGAACATGACATGTACATCTACTAGATAATCTGAATAGGAGCCGCTCTGCTTTCTTCCTTGTTCTACCCACTTTTGTGTTCCTGTTGTGGTTTGAAGTGGCTATTTTTTACTCCGAGGTTTCGAGTGCATAGAAGCGCATAAGGTACATGCAGATGACATGGTTATCTGAATGGTTATAAATTATAATTAATGCTAATTTAGCTTCAAAAAGTCTTAACTGCTGGCTTACCATGCCTGGATGTTACATTTACGTCTGGCTGTTTCTGTTTGATGTATTTGGTAAGTGTCTCTCATTTTTTCTCTTTTGCTGTGTCTGCTTTTTGTGCTATTAACACACCAGTGTATATTATTAATTTGAACATTCTCAATGTATAGTAGTATACATTATAGAGATTTTTTTTTTAGGGGGGTAAATTTGGATAAATTGTTGAATGCGCTTCTTTCACAATGTCTTTCAGTCAAATGTTTAAATCTGTTTATGGATTGTACTGACTATACATATTGATTTAACAGCAAAAGAAAATCTTGAAGTGATGACGGGCTTATATAGTCGCGTTGAACTCACTGGAATGTTGCTTCATCAGAAAGAGACTGTTTCCTCAGTTTTATGGGCCAAACTAAAACTTAATAAAAGTCAGATATGTATTCAATATCTAAACAATGGAACTGGCACCAAATGCTACAGTGATTGCTGTAGAGAGGCTAGTTACTATTTTAACAATAACACCTTCATTCTGAAGAACATGACAGCACAGGATGAAGGAGTCTTCATGGAAACTATAATTAGAAGAAATGGAACAATACAATCCCGAAACTATACATTAATTATTCAATGTAAGTCGAGAATCTTAATCATTCAAATTTAATTCATCTTTTTGTTTATCTGTGTTTGCTCATTAACACATTTTATTTCAAGACCCACCAAATGCAACAGAAATTGTGGTCTCACATACCTCCAACACATCTGTGACTCTCAAATGTGAAGTGAGCGGGTCATTTCTGCAGCTGATGTGGTGGAGAGAAAGAGTCCCCATTCTAGAGAAACACAGACACTCATTCAGCGAGATGAACCAAACTCTACACATCAGCAACATAACCAGCTCAGATTACGGCACGTACAGCTGTAGTGCTTCAAATGCATATGGAGAATCAGAACAGCACATAGATATTACCGGTGAGCAGTTGATCATTGTGCACTCTCCATATTATATTCAGGACCAGAACTTAAACCAGCATGATTGTGAAAAGTAATTTTCTGGTTTTCTTTTGAGGTGAGAACTCACCAGTTAACCAAGGAAATGGTTCTAGTGGTAAAATTACGTCTGGTCAGATTCTGCTATCAAGTGGATTAACACTCATGGGTGTTTTGGGATTGTGCATCATGTTCTACGGCCTTTACAAATACCATCACAGTAAGACTTTCACCCAAATACATTAACAATTTTCATATACGTTGCTTCAGCAAAATAATAACTGCATGTTGATGAAACCCACAGCAATCATGATTTAGGTTTACTGTGTGACTCATATCATGAATGTAAATACCACGCAATCTCAGTAAATGTTCTCAAAAACATCAGACATGAAGAAAAGGAGAATGAATCACAGAATGTTCTGTTTTTAAAAACTCTGCAGTTTCTCTACAAGCTATAAAACCTGAAATACAATTACAGCAACTACTGTTTTTAATCTATTTTGCACCAAATATTTTACCGTAATTATATATTTTTTTAGGGCAAAGAGTTGAAAATGGCAGAACTGATGAAGGTATTGAAAATATACTACCAATAAATGGATGTTATATTGTTGCCTATATTATTATGCAACCAATTGTCATATAATATGTGAAATATACTTCACAGGGGATGCAGATAATGGCATTGGAATTTATCAGGTAATGGGCAATCAATCAAATACATTATAAACAGATGTAATAGTAATTTCAGTAGATATTTACATGGACAATTCAATTATTGTTATTTTCCATATCTTAAAGTTTTTTGTTTTTTTTTTAAAGAGGATTTTATTTAATATTAGTCCCGATAATCATACGGGGCCTTTGAATGCTTGATTCTGATTGGTTGGCAATGTCGCGCAATTATTATTTTCTAAACCGGCGTGCAATTATTTTCATGGAAACGCATGGCTAAAGTAGTTCCAGTCGGGCCTTGACCGCATTACAGTTCCAAATCAATTCGCCAAATTATTAGTATTATTTTATTTTGTTACAGTCTGGTTACAACCTACTAGGCTACAACGACTAAAAAATCAAAACCCACAAGGACACTTCTTCAAGCAAGATTGGAGAACTTATTTTCTTGCACCGAAAAAGTCGACGGGGTACTCCTGTTAGTTTTTTCGGGTCGAAATTTTGAGTTTCTCTGATCTTCTTGAAACTTCTGATAGAGGGCCATGAGACTTAGACCTGAGTGCAAAAATGGAGTCTCTAGACCCTTCCTGAGCTGAGATATTGAGATCCCACATGGCCCGCCTGCAATCTATTGAATGGGGACTTGAGTAGTGTATTTTTTGGACATTTTAATTAAAGTTCCTGTCATGATAAAAAACTATTTTACTGCACTCAGAGGGGCCCCCTGAGTCTGTGGCACCAAGCCCCATCCCATAATTCCACCGTCCACGAACCCACTATTTCTAATGGCATAAATGTGGGATCTCAATATCTCAGCTCTGGAAAGGTCTAGACTAGACTCCATTTTTGCACTCAGGTCTAAGTCTCATGGCCCTCTATCATTAATATGAAAGAAAAATATCCTTTTTTTTAACAGGCTACATATTTTTTATAATTATTTACCTGTTTACGCTATTGTTATTACAGGAAGTACCTGACACTGTAGAATTTACCCCTTTGCCGTACGTCTACACGGACTTCATTAAGCCGAAAGAGCCCAACCAGGCCTCTGCTGCAGCGCAACACTTTGACTTTGGTTACTCCGAGGTTGGACCCACGTGCAGTGCGGACACAGTTGCTCAGTATTGTGATGAAGAACAGACCACAGCGTGTCCTGAGGCGGAAGATGAATGACACATCTAATATAAGAGACTAAAAACCACGTTGGAGTTCAAACAGCGAATACGAACACACTTTCATATTCATGAATCTGTTGCTGCGCAAATTACAAGAGCGACAATCAGGCCGAGCAGAAAATACATGTTTTATCCTGATCAACCACCAGATGGCAGCAAAAACAGATCAAAACAAAGCAGTTCGACCATGGACAACCATAATTGTTTCTGATCCTCACAAAGAGCAAGAATGCGTCTCTGGAATAATCGTTTCAATTACATTAAATAAGCATCATTCTGTAAAGAAATAGAGGAAACATGTTTCATTTCTTGCACTTGTCACTGGTTAATAGTATAAACACACAATAAAGACTTGATGAATACATAAAATGGCTTCATTGAAAACTGTGCCTTTGCAATAATGTCAAGGATACAGTATTTGAAGTGACACACTATGAGAGGTCGTAAGTTTCCATCCTACCCATTAGTGACTGTCATACATACTGATTAGGTAAATGACTTTGAGAGCTATTGGGCTCACTTGCCTGTCTTGCATGACAAAAAAACTCTGTTAAAGGTTCTGTATATCAATTAAACGGCATGCCATGGAGTCAGCGGCAGATTAATTGATGTTAAAAGGCAAATCTAGATGTCAGTAAAGAGGTGCAAACGCTCACAGTGCACAAAAGAGAACAAAAACAGCACTTTAGAGACAGCCGTCAGTTACCTGATGAGTATAAAAGTCTTACCACATCTTTCACTTACAGTTAGAGTAGAGCACCACGATGTATACCTGAAGCAATGTCTTTATTGGGATACACACTGCAACAGGTTAGGTTCCTTTCTTTGTTTTTCCTTCAGAATAGCCAAAAGGAAGAAAAGATTAAACAAAAATAAAACAGACATATGTAGATAACTGTACAGTGCACTTTTTCTAAATGTGCATAAATTAATAACGTTTATGGGGCATAGAGTAATGAAAATAAAAATCGCTAGTTAATACAACTAACAAGGCTCAAAATAGCCCAACACTAACACTGTAGCATAATCAGGGTCCCTACATGCAACCCAAAGCATTGGGAACGTTGTAAGTGTACAGAACTTGTCTCGGCGTTCGTGGTTCGACTGCTCGAGACTATTTTCCAAAGATGGCTCCTGCCTGTATTCGCAAAGTGGACTGTCTTTATAAAATATCTTCTTATTAAACGGTCTGTACACTTACAACATTCTCAATGCTTCAGTTTGCATGTAGGGACCCTTATTATGCTACTGTGTTAGTGTTGGGCTATTTTGAGCCTTGTTAGTGGTATTAACTAGCGATTTTTATTTTCATTACTCTATGCCCCATATACTAGCATTATAAGCTAAACAGTTTTTAGAGATCAAACTCTTTACCTTCAATAATCATGAAAACAAATCTCAGAACGGTTGACTAGGTACCAATGTGTAATTAGACCAAAGGTTCATTTTGCGTCGGAGTTGTCCTTTAAGTCACCCTTATGGTGATCTGAGTTTGGTTTAGCTGGGCGCTTGTCCCTTAAATCACTAAATTTATATTTTGTTTCGCTGCTGTATGTGACTTATAACAGCCAGATGAACAAATAGAAAAGGTGATCAGATGGTGTTGGTTGTGTTTTAACATAATCATTAATTGACCTGAATCACTGAACCCATTAAGAGCATAAATTCGGAGAAAAATGTACCTTATGGATTTTAGCAGCACGGTCATTTTATAACATACCATTTTTAGCCTTTTCAATGAAATCCAAACGATCAAATAAATAAAAAAATCCAAAAAAAATATGTTATGTAGGCACACACAGACATCAATAATTTACGTATAAAGCTCAGCAATAGTGACAAATAGATCACCTCTGAACATAAGCTCATTATTTATTCATGCAGCAATGCATGAAGGGAGCCATGAATGAGTTTTGATTGGTGGCACCCAGAATGCAATGCAACATGCTAATTGTCACCATTGTTGATATTCACAGGCTAATTATTGATGTCTGTGTGTCTTAAAAATGTAATAAATTGTATAAGAGAAACTTAAGAAATTATTTTGATATAGGACATATGGATATAGGAGGAATGGATATAGAAGGGAGGGGAGGATGGAAGAGGGAGGGAAGGAAGGATGGAGGATGGATATAGAGGGGAGGGGAGGATGGGAAGGGAGGGGAGGATGGAGGGATGGACATAAAAGGGAGGAAGGATGGAAGAGGGAGGGATAGTTATGGAAGGGTGGGGAGGATGGATGGAGGAGGGAGGGAAGGATGGAAGAGGGAGGGATGGATATAGAAGGGTGGGGAGGATGGATGGAGAAGGGAGGATGGAGGAGGGATGGATGGATATAGATGTAGGGAAGGATGGATGGATAAATGGAGGTATGGATGAATTAATTTATTAATAAATAATTATTCTGAGTGTTGTGTGTTTTCTTGAGTGCAGACATTTGTTAAAAGGATAGTTCACCCAAAAATGAAAATTCTGTCAGTATTTACTCACCCTCATGTTGTTCCAACCCCGTAAGACCTTCGTTCATCTTCGGAACACAAATTAAGATATTTTTGATGAAATCTGAGAGCTGGATCACTCTTGCATACTAGTCCATAGGCTTTTTGAGGAATTGAAACTTGCCGGCCTCGAAAAGTTATTAAAGACATCGTTAAAATAGTCCAAATGACTTCAGTGGCTCAATCTTAAGTTTATGAAGCGGCAAGAATACTTTCTGTGCGCAAAAACAAACAAAAATAACGAATTTATTTCAAATATTCACTTCCTTCTCTGTGGGCCTCTCCAGTCATCCAGTCCACTCCATAGAAATCTCCTACCATCTTCCAGCCATGATTTACAGGAGGAGGAATGTCTGGCATGCAACTTTTGCAGGATGTTTTTATTATATTACTGTTAATACGCTGTATATCTATATTAGTTGTACTATTATACTGCTACTTCACTGCACATAACTGTATGTGTTTGTTCATACATATCCACATCTATTATGCTCTCATAAGGCTACTGCTAATACATTGCACATTTATATTTAATTTATATTACTGTAAAACATACTACTTTCTTAAATGTATACTACTTTACCGAATGAACACAAAAAAGGTTCAAATAATATAAATAAACAATAAAAAAATGACAAAAGGATAAATAATAGTCAGTTAAGGGGCTTCAGTTTTTAGGAAGTTGTACTTTTGATAACCTATTCCCCCCATTCAGACTGGAAATGTGTCTTTAAAATAATCTAATCTACTACACCATTACCTATTTATTTTACAGTTTGCAATGAATTGGTCTTTTCTTGTTGAAGGGTAACACCAGAGAGCTGACTAGAGTATAATGTATAAACTCAGTAAAGGACAGGACATACACTGTTAAATAACAGAAAGTACAGTTATTTACTGTAAATATCCCATAAAAATACAGTAATACTGAATTAGTCATCTGGAGATTTGTGCTGGAGAATTAACAAAGCAGGATGACATCTTAATCATATATATATATATATATATATATATATATATATATATATTACATTTGAATGATAAACTGAATCAGAGCAAGTTTGTCTTTTATGAGTTATTTATCCGATGTACTGCGTTAAATGGAAGTATCTTCAAAATAATCTAATCTACATATGATGGGTTTCCTTTTTGAGCTCACTTCCTCATATTAATAGATGTTTTAAAAAAGAGCTGATCCAAACTCAGTAAAGGACCAGACATTTACAGAAAGTACAGTTATTTACTGTAAATATCCCATAAAAATAATACAGAATTAAACCAAATCATCACTAAACAGTCAAAGTCATCTGGAGATTTAACAAAGCAGGATGACATCTTAACCATATATATATATATATATATATATATATATATATATATATATATACATATTACATTTGAATGATAAACTGAATCAGAGCAACTTTGTCTTTTATGAGTTATTGATCCGATGTACTGCGTTAAATGAACATGACATGTACATCTACTAGATAGTCTGAATAGGAGCCGCTCTGCTTTCTTCCTTGTTCTACCCACTTTTGTGTTCCTGTTGTGGTTTGAAGTGGCTATTTTTTACTCCGAGGTTTCGAGTGCATAGAAGCGCATAAGGTACATGCAGATGACATGGTTATATGAATGGTTATAATTTACAATAAATGGTAATTTAGCTTCAAAAAGTCTTAACTGCTGGCTTACCATGCCTGGATGTTTCATTTTCGTCTGGCTGTTTCTGTTTGCGGTATTTGGTAAGCGTCTCTGATTCTTCTCTTTGGCTGTGTCTGCTTTTTTGTGCTATTAACACACAAGTGTATATTATTAATTTGAAAATTCTCCATGTAATTCTTCATGGACAACCATGAATACGCTTCTTTCACAATGTCTTTCAGTCAAATGTTTAAATCTGTTTATGGATTGTACTGACTATACATATTGATTTAACAGCAAAAGAAAATCTTGAAGTGGAGACGGGCTTATATAGTCGCGTTGAACTCACTGGAATGTTGCTTCATCAGAAAGAGACTGTTGAGTCAGTTTTATGGGCCAAACTAAAACTTGATAAAAGTCAGATGTGTATTCAATATTATAACAATGGAACTGGCACCAAATGCTACAGTGATTGCTGTAGAGAGGCTCATTACTATTTTACCAATAACACCTTCATTCTGAAGAACATGACAGCACAGGATGAAGGAGTCTTCGTGGAATCTATAATTAGAAGAAATGGAACAATACAATCCCGAAACTATACATTAATTATTCAATGTAAGTCGAGAATCTTAATCATTCAAATTTAATTCATCTTTTTGTTTATCTGTGTTTGCTCATTAACACCTTTTATTTCAAGACCCACCAAATGCAACAGAAATTGTGGTCTCACATACCTCCAACACATCTGTGACTCTCAAATGTGAAGTGAGCGGGTCATTTCTGCAGCTGATGTGGAGGAGAGAAAGAGTCCCCATTCTAGAGAAACACAGACACTCATTCAGCGAGATGAACCAAACTCTACACATCAGCAACATAACCAGCTCAGATTACGGCACGTACAGCTGTAGTGCTTCAAATGCATATGGAGAATCAGAACAGCACATAGATATTACCGGTGAGCAGTTGATCATTGTGCACTCGCCATATTATATTCAGGACCAGAACTTAAACCAGCATGATTGTGAAAAGTAATTTTCTGGTTTTCTTTTGAGGTGAGAACTCACCAGTTAACCAGGGAAATGGTTCTAGTGGTAAAATTACATCTGGTCAGATTCTGCTATCAAGTGGATTAACACTCATGGGTGTTTTGGGATTGTGCATCATGTTCTACGGCCTTTACAAATACCATCACAGTAAGACTTTCACCCAAATACATTAACAAGGTTCATACACGTTGCTTCAGCAAAATAATAACTGCATGTTTATGAAACCCACAGCAATCATGATTTAGGTTTACTCAAAAACATCAGACATGAAGAAAAGGAGAATGAATCACAGACTGTTCTGCTTTTAAAAACTCTGCAGTTTCTCTACAAGCTATAAAACCTGAAATACAATTACAGCAACTACTGTTTTTAAATTATTCTATTTTGTACAGAATATTTTACCGTAATTATAATTTTTTAGGGCAAAGAGTTGAAAATGGCAGAACTGATGAAGGTATTGAAAATATACAACGAATGAATGTGTGTACATATATTGTTGCTTATATCATACACAACCAATTGTCTTCACAGGAGATGCAGATAATGGCCTTGGAATTTATCAGGTAATGGGCAATCAATCAAATACATTATAAACAGATGCTATAATAATTTCAGTAGATATTTACATGGACAATACAATTATTGATATTTAAATATCAATTAAATATTAAATTAATTAATTATTTTTATATCAAATATTTTAATAGATATTTAATTATTTTAATTTTTAAAGAGGATTTTATTCGATATTAGTCGCGATAATCATGCGGGAATCATGCAGAATCATGCTTGATTCTGATTGGTTGACAATGTCGTGGAATTATTATTTTCTAAACCGGCATTCAATTATTTTCATGGAAACGCATGGCTAAAGTAGTTCCAGTCAGGTCTTGACCGCATTACAGTTCCAAATCATTTCGCCAAATGATTTCATTCATTTTGAAGGTTTCTTCTTTTTTTTTTTTACAGTCTATTTTAAACAAAAGTACGGAAGCCCTGAATCGCAAGGTGAAAAAAAAGAAAGAAAACTTTACTCTTTAACTTTTCAACTTAAATCGTTATTTTGACATAATATCTTGTGATTACGACATAATATCTTGTTATTTTGACATGATATCTCGTTATTACGACATAATATCTCGTTATAACAACATAATATCTTGTTATTTCGACTTGATAAGTCATTATTTTGACATAATATCTTGTTATTACGACATAATAAATCATTATTACAACATAATAAATCCCTATTATGACATAATATCTCGTTATTTTGATATAAGGAGCGCATTCTAATATGCATTAAGCCACATTATGGGTCTTATTATGAGTTTCTATGGGAGGAAAATGCTTAACGTCAAATGAAACGCTTTGTGTTTATATTCTGGACTTATCTGGTTTTTGTAGTATACTTTATTATAAGTTTAGAATCATATTGATTAAGAAATGCACATACAATGGGCCCAGCTTGCACTACTTCCTGAACTTCAGCCAGCTCCTTGTTTCCTGTCTGCCATTATTGGTCAAATTGATTAATTTAGGTGTGCTTGACCTCAGTAGTCATGGCAACAATAATCAGACGCACCTGAACTAATCAATTTGGCCAATAATGGCAGACAGGAAACAAGGAGCTGGCTGAAGTTCAGGAAGTAGTGCAGCTGGGCATAAAGCCAATTATCTGTGAGCTTGATAAAGAACATTTGCTCCATTTGAGCCTTTGCAATCAGTTGAGCTTAACTTTCTGTCAATGAAGACAGCGCTTCTGACTGCATTGGCCTCCATTAAGAGGGTAGGGGACCTACACGCATTCTCTGTTGACGAAGCGTGCCTGGAATTCGGGCCGGGTTACTCCCACGTGATCTTGAGACCCCGGCCTGGATATATGCCCAACGTTCCTACCACTCCCTTCTGGGACCAGGTGGTGAACCTGCAAGCGCTGTCCCTGGATGAGGCAGACCCAGCCTTGGCACTGCTCTGTCCTGTATGTGCTCTCCGCATCGATGAAGACAGAACGCAGTGTTTCATGACCTCAGACCAGCTCTTTGTCTGTTATTGTAGGAAGTTGAAGGGAAAGGCTCTCTCCAAGCAAAGGTTGTCCCACTGGATAGTGGACGCCATTGCTTTGGCATACCAACAGCAAGGTCGACTGTGCCCCCTTGGTGTGACTGCCCACTCCACCGGGAGTGTGGCATCCTTTTGGGCTCTAGCGCATGGCGCCTTGCTAACAGACATCTGCAGAGCTGCAGGCTGGGCGACACCAAACACATTCACCAGATTCTATAATCTCTGAGTGGAGCCAGTGTCCTCTCATGTACTCGCTTCAACCAGCTAGTACTGGACCCGCTCAGGTGTCTTCACTTGCTCGCCATTCCACTCAAAATAGGACAAACGTCCATCCCAAAAAGTAAAAAAAACTTGCATGGCTAATGCAAATTAAAGCAAGTTCAAAACTCTGTCATATTTCTGATATATCTTCACATTTATAGGCCTAATTTGATACAATCCAATTATTTTAGCACGAAGGTGGATCTTATCAATATTACTTTGTCATTTTGTGTGACACTTCAACATTTAGCCTAATTTTGTGCTGCAACAGAAGGTGCCAAGGCCCCTGATGCTAAATTATGAAGCAATCATGTTATTTTATGGGTTCTTTAGGTCATAAAAACTCTTCCAGCGGAATGCTATGAATGATAAATGTTGGCCTAGGTTTATAATTTTTTTTTACTCTGGTTTACTCTGGCCACTTCTTTCTTACAGGAAGTACCCGACACTGTAGAATGGACCCTTGTGCTGTACGTCTACACAGACTTCATTGACCCGAAAGAGCCCAACCAGGCCTCTGCTGCAGCGCAACACTTTGAGGACTTTGGTTACTCCGAGGTTGGACCCACATGCAGTGCGGTCACAGTTGTTCAGTATTGTGATGAAGAACAGACCACAGCGTGTCCTGAGGCGGAAGATGAATGACACATCTAATATAAGAGACTAAAAACCATTTTGGAGTTCAAACAGTGAATACGAACACACTTTCATATTCATGAATCTGTTGCTGCGCAAATTACAAGAGCGACAATCAGGCCGAGCAGAAAATACATATTTTATCCTGATCAACCACCAGATGGCAGCAAAAACAGATCAAAACAAAGCAGTTCGACCATGGACAACCATAATTGTTTCTGATCCTCACAAAGAGCAAGAATGCGTCTCTGAAATAATTGTTTCAATTACATTAAATAAGCATCATTCTGTAAAGAAATAGAGGAAACATGTTTCATTTCTTGCACTTGTCACTGGTTAATAGTATAAACACACATTAAAGACTTGATGAAATAAAATGGCTTCATTGAAAACTGTGCCTTTGCAATAATGTCAAGGATACAGTATTTGAAGTGACACACTATGAGAGGTCGTAAGTTTCCATCCTACCCATTAGTGACTGTCATACATACTGATTAGGTAAATGACTTTGAGAGCTATTGGGCTCACTTGCCTGTCTTGCATGACAAAAAAACTCTGTTAAAGGTTCTGTATATCAATTAAACGGCATGCCACGGAGTCAGCGGCAGATTAATTGATGTTAAAAGGCAAATCTAGATGTCAGTAAAGAGGTGCAAACGCTCACAGTGCACAAAAGAGATCAAAAACAGCACTTTAGAGACAGCCGTCAGTTACCTGATGAGTATAAAAGTCTTACCACATCTTTCACTTACAGTTAGAGTAGAGCACCTCGATGTATACCTGAAGCAATGTAACAGGTTAGGTTCCTTTCTTTGTTTTTCCTTCAGAATAGCCAAAAGGTCAAACAGACATGTGTAGATAACTGTACAGTCTCACTTTTTCTAAATGTGCATAAATTGTTGCACCCATGGAATGCTGGGAAATGATACCTACAGTCAGAAGGGGGATGTAAGTCTTTAATGATTTAACTTTAATCTCCTGTGATATAAATAGAAAAAAACAAATAGGTTTGGGGACAGTGTTAATTAAAGATCTCCTATACAACTACAATAAGTGCAAACAGATATTTATATACAAAATTGCACATATCATTTGGGTTTCAGGGGAGAAAAAAAAGAAACAATGCGTGGAAAATATTTTGCATCGCCCACTCGGCGATAAATAAATCACAAAGCGAACCAAAAGAATCAGACTAAATGCAACGCAGGTATCAGGAATAAAACATTTGAGATTTGTGTGATAAACAGATGCACTTTGATCTGAAGGTTTAATATCAGTGATTAAGCCCTATCTGGCAACCCTGAGACAAAAACAACCCCATTTCAGCACGTTTGACTAAGCTGAACATTCACTTGGAATTAATGGACCAAATCAGACTATGTGTGTGAGCACCATAAGGCTTCGGAGAGCCTTGTTCAAGTGCAGGGTTTTGATTTTTCATGAAAGCCACTGCATCAGTAATTGAGATGCATTTTTGATTACCTAATAATCATGTGAAGAGAACCCAAAATCCGAAAAATGAGATGCTTTCAAGATCCATTGTGTGCATTAAGAAATAAATTTAGAAAATGATATGCTACAGATGATAGAACAATCACATTGAATAAGGGGGGAGGGGAAGATGTACACGTGTAGAAGAGAAAAAATATTTTCACAGCATTTCAAATGTTCAATTTATAGTCTGATAGTCACTGATGCCATCCATGGCTTACATTGTCATAATTCATATTACACCCTGAAGAGCTTCACTGTGATATTCAGTCCCTCTCTTCTGAAAATCCCCCTCTGTGTCCACTATCTGGTTGAACACACTCTGTGAATAATTTCTCAAATATACAAAAGTGCTCAGTCTTCAAGAAAGCGTAAAAAAATGGCCCGAAAAGCCTCTTCCCTTTTTTAAGGCAAGTGGTGACCAGTAGGTCAAAAGACTCTTGCCACAGAACCGTGCTGTAACATCTCCCAATAAATATTGCAAATAATTCCCCCCACATTTGAAACGAGTTAATGGCTTTTGGCATTTGTAGTTTCCAAAAATGGCGAGAGCTTTACTATTAAAGTAGAAGGACGGATATATCTCTCTGAACTAGACATGTAAAGGGCAAGAATGACCGAAGTATGCACTGTGAATGAGTGGACTATAAGCCAAGGTCATGTCCACAAGTGTAAAGCATGCCAAAATGGAAAAAAAAACAAAAAAAACGGAACAAACTAAAATGTTTCAGAGATCTTTATACTACATTTACGTAAAAGCTCTTATCCCTTTGGCCCTCAATTTCTCTGAACTGTAGTCGAGGTACTGTAAACACTTTAGAGGGTGCTTGAGGGAGGCCGTTCAATGAATGATTCTCCTTCCTGTTATCCAGACTGAACAAAGCTGAAACACAATTCAAATTCTCAGCCAATTTAATCTCGGAGCTCTTGGGATTTCAGAACTCTCGCTCAGTTTAGAATTAGCAGATTCCCGAATTGGACGGATCAGGGGGCGTTTTGTTCAGGGAAAACACACACTCGTTACCTTTCATTCTCGCCAGCACAACAGCAACGGCACAATATGATACACCAGTACCAGTACCAAGTCTCTTTTCCAAAATGATTCTTTAGACAAAGTTATATATCATCTTTATAAATATTTTCTGTGCTGTTGTGTCCTCTATCAATATAAATAGCAAAATATAATGTCATATTTCCTACAGCTAGTTGAATCCCCTCAGCCGTTTACACTAACTAAAGCATCTTTTAATCACAAGAAACCTTTCCGAAAGGATCCGTAAGAATTCATGTACAATTTGAACCAAAATAAAACGGATGTCTGTACAAAACAAAACGAACAAAATAATAAAAGAACACAATCAATGTGTGTGTTGTTAGCCACAGCAGTGCATAGATGCTGAGTTTGTGAAATGAGTCTGGGAGGTGTGTGAAACCAACCGATTGGGTGAAAAGTGACAAAAGCTGATATCAACATTGATTTTTTTTCTTCTTCTTGGAGGTGGTGATGGTGTGTGGAAATCATCCGTGATGATCTAACCCTACTTGTCCTTCCGAACTGAAGATTGTTTGAAGAATGCTAAATTTTGTTTCCTTTTTTCCTTAAATTAAAATGCTAACCAATAAATATGCAAACAAAGATGCCTCTAACACTTTGTGGTGTACATTCAGGAACATTCATATTAAAAGTGAAAAAATGCAACATAAAATAAACGAACGAACAAACAAGAGAAAAAAAAAATCACTGTAAGAGTTAACAATAAACATTGCCATAATAATAATTTATATTATATTACAAATTATTCCTATGTTTTTTTTTTGTCGTTGTTGTTGTTTTTTTTGCAGTCCAAGGTCCCTGCCAGGGAAAAGTGATTTTTTTTATAGTTTTTCTTTTGAAGGAATCCAGATGTAAGGTCCAGACTGTTCCTCTATCACCATCTTACACTGGTTATAAATGTCCTCTAGTGTTTCCCCTTGAACCAGCGCTGAGAGAGAGTGAGAAAGAGAAAGAGAGAGAGAGAGAGAAAGAGCTGACGTTAATAGATTATTATGTACTTTACGGAGCAACGCCTTTATCATTTTGCGCCACAATAAGTAAGAAACCTCGGTGACAGTTTCATAATGATCGTTTTTGAACTTAATGGATCATTAGCCACTTTATCGCTCATGAATTCTTCTTGTGCGAACGGTAAGAATAGCCATTTTACCCAGCAACAGAATCTCTAACAAGGCAGAGAGAACGATGCAGATTTTCATTTAAAAATAACATTATACATAGTATTATTAGCAAAGCAACACATTCTTTAAATCTCTTTTCTTGCAGGTGCAGATTAACGAAATTAAAAAATAGAGCAAAAGCATTGTCACGTGGGTTCAAAATGTCCTCAAATGAATCATTATGCTCTATTTCATATTCTTCCATACACTCACAAGGGTCAGGCTAATGCACATTTCAAGAGAAAGTGTTTCACTGAGGGGAAAGCGTCAGCGCCATGGCTCTGCTGTCAAATATGATGGATGCAACAAGCTGCAATGGTTGGCCTCTGAGGTAATGCATATGCAAAAGACTATCAGAATATGCAAATGAGCTGATATTGGACAGCCTCTGAGCGTGAAGGCGCTGCTCAGGTCCTCTCGATGGATTAGGAACTGTTACCTGTGAAGTACTCGCCAAACTCCTGCTCCAATTTCATGGCACGGTCATATGTCTTTTTGGCCTGTTCCTCCGTCAACCTCTTATTCATCTCCCTGAAACACAAATTTATCAATCCCCTTGAGTCTGAACACAATGGAATTTGTATCATTTATTGAATTAATACACCATCATAGAGCTGTGTGGTGAACTTACATTAAGGACTCCATGGATCTAGGCTTTATAAAGATGGCAATGGGGTAGAGTTGTGCTACTTGTAGTCGTTTTATGGCATTCCCAGACACGTCAAGTATGCAGTGCTTTCCCTAGAAAACCAATAAATGATGGGAAGCTGAACAGTAGAGCAAGGGGCCATTCACAAAGAACACATTCAACGACACAAGGACAAGTGTTGGCCTTTGAGATGTCAAGTTAAACAATATCAAGACACTATACCAAAATACTCATGAGTACTGGCAAGGCATCCCAAATTGTAAAATCCAAATTAGTAAGCAGGCTTCATGGTAATGTTGTGGTTGTAAAACCATAGTAACTACTGACCCTCTCCGCCACATATTTGACAGACTGGACGCTGGTTCCGTACAGATTTTCATTGTACTGTCCAGCCTCGATGAACTTGTGCTCTTGGATGTCTTTCTCCATCTGCTCTCGTGAATTTACAAAGTGATAATCTCTCCCATCCACTTCATAATCCCGCTTTGATCTGGTAGTATCTGAGATTGGTTTAAAAAAAAAAAAAATCCAGGTTTTAGTTTTATAATACTTGGGTACTCAGTTCAACAACACATAAAAATGGGAAATCATCAACTTTATTATCTACATATACGTTCAAGAGAAATACCATGGCAAATCTACTTTTACAAATAAAAAAAATGATATCTCTAGCTATTGGGGTGACATACTAAGAGACAGCAGCAGATAAGATAAGCAGAAATACCCTTAGATCCCCCTGACTGGATGAACTGTATACTACAGGGAAAGACTGACGCTATTACATTTTCTACTTATATTTTGCTCACTGCAGACTAATAATCTCACTTACCTTCTTGATCAGAACTGTTAGCCGCTTTTTTAAAATTTTGAACATAAACAAAAACGGTTAAATAAAAGTTTGAAAAACTGAAAAGCAAACAATAAATAAAGTGTTCAAGATGGAAAACACGAAAGAGCTCTGTGGCACTCATCAGCAAACTATGAGAATGATACAAGATCTTTTTTCCCTTTTGGGTCTCTCCACAATATTGTCAATATTTTGCTTATTATGTATAGCACAAGCCAACAAAGCTCTTTTCCAAAAACATTTAAAAACTCAGGAAAAGTGTAGAACAAATGAAGTCTTACAAAGTGTGGGTTACGAACTGTTACTTTCAAGGTTTGCTCGAAGAACTTTAACTTGGACCAATTATAACTTCTGAAACACGATCACAATAAAGTAGTGACCCAGTTGAAATTTGTTAATCAGCAGACCTTGACGTAAGGGATTTCATAGTCACAGCACAATGAAATGAGGAACTGCACAGCAATAGTTTTGAGCACTGTGGGGCAGTAAGGAACACCACGGACTCTTACGGTCAGGTCACTTACCTTACCATCTCATTTTGATGAGTCCCACCAGCACAGCTATCAGCACAAAGGCTTAAAACCCCCTAAGACTACTGAGTATAATTACAAACTACCTTGGCCAGAGGTTTTTTTAACACTCCAGTTGAAATTTATAACGGCACCAGTGAGAATAACACAGTACACTATTGCTCATCTGGGCTCTTTTGAGACTGTGGTTGAGTCAGCCTCTACTGAAGGCTAATTTGTGCCTTCTAAAGATGTAAAATGAATAATTAATGAAAGATCCACTAGGAGATGAGTTTATCTGATAATATAACCACCTGGGCAAGAACCACAAGATCTCTGTAGGGTACTTACGTGGCACACATGACCCAAACTTGTCCGGGAACTCGGAGATGAGGTCATCGTTGACCCTGTCCTTCATGGGCCCCAAAATTATAACTGGTCGGGCGTAATTAACTGTTCAAACAGATAATACAGGAACAACAAACAAACTGAACATCGATCACGTAATATATTTACACTTCTACAGAACTTCATACAGTCCAAGCATGAGAGACAGTGGAGAAGCACTTACTCTCTTGTCTGATGACAGGCTCATACGAGAGGATCAGTTCCTCTTGACTCCCTGGAAACAGAACACAGAAACATACTCAGTGGGGTGGGTGGTTGTGATGGGACTCAGATAGCTTTCTGTAGAACGGCAGTAATCGAGATGCATTTGATGTGCCCTTCACCAAGGTCTCGCCTCTCAGAGTGCGGCTCGAGTGGATGTGTAAATGAGTTACTGAGCATGTAATGTCATTACGCACTTGTTGACAAGGACATTTGCTTTAAAAAAAAAGAGAAAAATGAAAAACAGTGGCAAAATTTAGTTAGCGCTCATTTGGGAGATTAAAGGGATCGGCTGAAAGGCTTTGGGATGATGATGGACAACAGAAAAGCAATTTAATCACGGATAAGACTGACGTTTCAGACAGTGACAATACTAATTGAATATATAAGTCCAATTATGGGAACGCAGGTCCAATATGACGCTAGTTTTGAGGTAGTCTGCGCACACAGGGACTTCAAGTTGCCAGAGTAGTTTATTTTTAGCCCTGGGACGAACAGAAGCAGGCTGCCGCAGGAACACAATATGGTTATTATCCATCGATTCAAACCCAGATAGGATCGGGTGTTATTCTGAGCCAGAGCTTAATTTCTCTCAGTGGAAGTGGTAACATTAAACTATAGAGAATGAATCACGCATGAATCAGCTACTGTGTAGTGCTCCACTTACCCAAAACAATTTAGATGCTGTGAAAAAGCTAGATGGCCTCTATTGTTGTAGCTATTGCCATAAACAGAATGGACTATGTCTATACGCCTTACCAATACAAAGCACACTTTAAAGCACTGTTCAAAAACCTAATGAGCTGCCTACAGAGTCAGAATTTTAAGGCATCAAACACAAAGGAAAGGTAGGCAACCTAATTTCGCTTTTAAAATTTGGTAAAAAGGGGATATATCAAATACTCTTGCAAGTTGAGTCTCACATGGATGGTAATGTAGAGTACTAAAAATCAGTCATGGTGCTGATGCCTATGTGCTGTAGGTAGGCAAGAAAGGAAAGGACGAGTTCTATGCATTCTATAAGACTCAAGCTAATAGGACAGCAACTTTTACATATTTTCACCAAAAAAGAACTGGTTTGTAACTGGCGCTGGTTCAAAGTTGGTTCGGAGTTGATTCAACTTGTGACTTCACTGACTAGAGCGCCCTGGGAACGACGTTGTTGCATTACTGTGTACGTTGCCATACGTCTTAGCTAGAAATGCTTGCAAGTACAACATTACTTTGGGATTGTCTCTAACTTGTGTACCAAGAAGGCTTTGTGTCTTTTTTCTTTCCATTTATTTGTTCTTTATTGTGACTGTTTTCTTCTTTGCTTATAATGTTTTCAATTAAAAATAAATAAATAAAATAGAAACGCTTGCGCCAATCCATCGTGTTTCTGCAAATGTTTCTCCTGGCGTTCCGATCCTATATTATGGTCAGAAAAGATGTTTAGCACACATCTAAACCCGGCCCCAGCTCCGACGTAAACATGACTTGGTAAAAGAACAGTTCTAGTCCAGCAAAGAGTTGGTGCCGATTTGGAACCAGTTTTCCCGGTTCTTTGGCTGTCGAAACACAAAGAACTGGTTCGCGCGCAGTCACCGGCTCCGAACCGGCTCTCAAAATGCTTTGGTGGAAAAGGGGTATGCGAGGATTTTAAACAAGGTTATGTGGGTTTGAGCAATGCCTGGAGATTTTGGTGGAGACAGATTATACATCATATTGTAAGACCAGACAGTGACCTTTGTCTTCTGCGCCTAATATGGAGTAGCTATCCACCTTATTTTAAACCTAAGATTGGGTGTGGCCATTTGTAACTTGACTGCGCAAGCCTTCCAGTTGGATACACTTTCAGTTATTTTTAATCACTGTATGCTGCCTGTTGACTGATATTTCTTATTATATTATTTTAATGTTTCGTCGTAATTGTAAACCCACTGGTTTGTATCACAAATAGTTTTATTGTTTACTGCACTATTTTTCTAGTTATTTTTTTTTTTACTTACAATGGCAAATTAATCTAAAATCTCGTACAGTCATAGAAAGTAGTTTACTTTTCCACAGATTGGAAAAGATTATTTCTGACAGCACATATCATTTTTCATCAACACGTTATCAAGTGAGTCCATTTCCAAAATAAATTAAATAAACGCCACAAATCCTGTTTACCAGCCATGGGTAAAAAAACAAGTCATATTTCATTATGTTGACAATGGCAGTCAATGGCTGTCTAGAAGAGCATCATGCAATATGACAATTATATGGCAAAATCTAATATGTCCAATGTGACAAGCTCATCCAACCGGGCTCTGAATACACACTCGGTCTGGAAACCTGTCACTCTCAGGATGACTTCAAAACCTGACAGCTAATGTTTTGGAGTTGGACTACAGTACTTTAAGTACTTTATCTTCTCCAACAACCTGACCTAAAGTCATCATTTTACTCAGTAACTTTCTTATAACAGTACGTTCTAGTTTTTAAGAGTCTAGAAGATCATTATCAGGAGCTCGCTGTCAACTCTAAGTTGGTTGCATTGGACAAAATTAGACTTGAGTTTCAAGCATAAAATAAAATTAGACACAGAGGATTAAATTACCGAGAAAAAGAGATGAACACGTTCAACCCAAAAGAAATATCCTCTATTCTGATCAAGCTGTGTTAACTTATACATAAGCTGTGAACAACATTCTCTATGGATTACATCTTAGCACAAATCCATATTAATTCATTGAGAATAATGCTAAATATTCTGTTTGACTGATGTGGATTTCCTCATTCCAGTTCCTCACAACAGTTTTAGCTAAATGCTCCTGATGTGAACATAAAACACTGTCAAAAACACAAGACAACATTTGGCACAGCACTGCAGAGACATCATAAAAGACAAAGACAAAGGACTAGAAACTAAAGTAGCCTAGATATCTATGAACAGAACTGCACATTCTGATTTGTTTTGAATCATGTCCGTAAGCTAATCAGAAATGACTTCATGTGTCTTTTATTTTTGCATGTTATCTGACAAACCCATTTTTGACAAGACAAACTGTTCAATTTACATGTGATCATTTTTGGCCAGAATAAACTTTTTCCAGCTGTGCAAGACTAAACATCAGAAAACAGCACAACAGTCTTGACATACAAACTAAACGAACAACACTTGACAAACTATTCTCACATGTGTTACGTTCATGCAACATTTTAGCTACCACATAAACCTAAGGATGGTAATGCAGGAATCCCTAAAACATCAGGACCTGTAGACCAACATACGTTAGTATTCTCACATGCAGACAGGTCTGTAGTTGACGTAACAGAAAAGAACAAATCTGAACTGAAATGTTACATGTGTGGTTGGGAGAGGGGTATTGGGTCCATTCCTTAACACACTTACTCAGTGTCTTTGCTCCGTACCCGTCCTCCCCTATTCCAGAGATGTCCTACACCACACAGCCGATCAGGGGGGCGGAGAAAGAGAGAGACGAAGAGAGATGAAAGAATGGGAGACAGAGAGACAGAGGGAGAGAGAGAGACAGTAAGGTTGTTGGTGGGGCGGGGAGAAACGCCAGCAGAAGAAGGAGGGCATGGGCTTCCTGGAGCTACCTACACACACACACCTAGACCTTTCACCTCACCCCGGGGATGCGTTTGTGTGAGCGTGTGCTGTCTTTATGTACCTACGTGTCAGGGTGCACGTGCGTTTGTGGCTACTTACTTTCCGAGTCGCTGCCGTCTTGCTCGTCGGCGTCCTTGTTCTTGTAGAAAGGGAACTTGCGTGAAAAGATGAAGTTCTTTCTACGTTTTTCACTGAATGACTGTGCGGAGAGAGAGCATGGTGCAAACAGGGGGCTCTAAACGCTGTCACAAACATGCTGACAAAAACAACACAACGACCGGAGCCGGACGTGAGGGACAGCAGCCAGGAAACAAACCAAACATCGCTCTGTTTTCATGGTCAGGATCGTCCATCGAATCGAACGAGCAATTCACACATTTGAAACGATTGAATTGAATTATTTTTGGCTCGAGCTGAAAGCACTGGTCTTTGTTTGTTGTGAAGGCCGATCCAAACCCTGCTGTCCATGACGTCAGAGCACCTGAGCTATTCTTAGACAGCTCGAATGTATTCAAATCAAAACATAATCAGTAGAAATGAACATACAAGGGAGGTAAACGATGATCAACAAAAGGCCAACTGAAGCTGGTTTAGTGCCATGCAAAGGGGACTTAAAAACAAAAAAAAAACTCATATTAAAAATATTAAAGCATGCAGGACTCCTGACAGGGTGACATGCTGATCAAATGGGGCTAATTTGTGCTGCCTGTGTGTATTATTATGATTTTCTGAAGGTGAATTGTTTTTAAAATGCTGAGAAAAATCAACAAAGTAACATATATGTGCCTGGGGTGATTCTAAATGTGATTTTTCAGTGAACCTGAGCTCAATATGCCTGATATGAATGTAATTTTCCTGAATAATCTATAATGGTGGAACCCATCAATGATATGTCCACATCATCTTTCACCCCAAAATGGAAAGACTTACAGTACATCAAGTCTATTTTAAAACCAAAATTGTATTTAACTCCCTTGAATAATGTAATGCAATTATGTGATGCAAAACTCAATAAGAAACAAATAAAGACAAACAGTAGATATTTAAGTTGTCAACCATACTAGTATTTTATATCCTGAATTTAATAATGCTTTAATAGAAATAATTGTCAGGATGTGATACATTGATGAGAATGACGAGTATTATGCTTAGTTATTATGAATTGCAATGTTTGTCCATTTTTTTAATGATCTGTGGGTGAAACATAACCTAGACATTTCTTAATGAGATTCATACTTAAATGTCTGGCAATAAATATGATTTTAAATTTTAATGCTTTTGTGTGTATTTTTGCGTTTTTCACCTATTTTAACATATCAGTACAGTGTACGAAACCAATTGTACCCCTGATAGTGATTAAAGGGAATATTCATAACTTTCACCCAACTAATTCTCTCTATTATAAAGCATATAAACACTTCTAATCAATGCATGGTCAAAAAACACTAAAATCCTATGAGTCATAAACCTGAAATGATACATACACAAGTTGGTGCAACTGAACACAAAGACAAAACCACACGACAAAATCCTCAAGTAATCCATCAGTGCCAACATCCCTTCCTTCTCCTCATCAAGACAGAGAAACAAAATACAAGGAAGAAACTGAAATGTGCAGGCCTGGCTGCGATGTTGCTATGGATACAAGTGGGAATCATAAGGCTAAAACCCTGAACGGCTCTGCAGTTGGGTGCCGAACTAAAAATACACCCTTCAGTTTTATTCATTTACCTCTCTCAAATACACATACATAAGAACTGTTTACTACAGATGACCTTACAATACTGATCTCATAAAACATATGAATGTAGAGAGACATAATACTGAGGCTGTTTCAGTGAGCGCCCGTTGGGTTGTGCTGCAGTACTGATGCTGAGAGCTCAGAGTGAGCTGTCACACTGCGGCACGGGGACAGTCTCTCACACACACTTCCGTTCTGACTGACTGACTCAATAACCCACCAGCACAACTTGAAGTGGAAAAGTAAATTGAAGATGACAGGGAACGAAAGCAACTAAACCGGATAGACTGAAGAGAGATGAGTGAAGAAACACTGCAGATGAACTGTCTAATAAATCGCTGGGCCCTTCCTGTTTATAACAAAAAAAACTGGAGCGAACAGAATTTGGGATGTTGGCACCGACTTAGTCAAATAGAGCACTCACCCCTTTAGAATCGAGGCTACCAGGTTTTGCGTTGAATTTAACCGTCTTCAGTCGAGCTCTCTCTTTTCTCTCGACCCTGCCACAGGAATAGAGACATAGTGAAACACTTAACTAATGTACTTACACTTCATTTGTACGCTTTTCACAAACATATTGTAACTGCTTTCCCCATTAATAATAAGAAATGTTTATTGAGCACCAAATCAGCCGTTATGATTAGAATGATTTCAGAATTATTAATATTGAAAAGATTTGTATTTTAACTAAAAAATGCTGTTCTTTTTAACTTTTTAAGGTTCACTAAATCCATAAAAAGTATTACAGGTTGCAAAAAAAAAATAAAAATATTAAGCCGCATGACTGTTTCCAACATGAAGTATCAAATTAGCATATTATAGCAAATCATTACCAAATCTAAAAGGTACAGTACATACAATCTGAAACAAACAAAACACTTCTAATTTAGTTGTACAGGATAATTTTTCACCTGCACTGTAAAAATGAATATGCTTTATCTAATCAATAGAATTGTGGCAACAGATTACAAGCAATATTATTAACTAAATTGAACAAATTAGAATTCAGTAATAATAAAACAAATTATTCCTTAAAAGTCAACCATTTAAAATGAGTAAAGTTTACACCAAAAAATTAACCAGAATCACTAAAACAAACACCGATCACCATAATGGTGACTTAAATGTATGTTTTTTTGGTTGTTGTTGTAAGTTTTACTCATTTTATATGGTTAACTTTTAAGGAATTAATTTGATTAATTATTAATCAATTCTAATTTGTTAAATTTAATTAATAATATTGCTTGTAATCTGTTGCCACAATTGTTTTTGATTAGATAGCATATACATTTTTACAGTGTGATCGTTTTAAAACAAACAGACTTTTGCTGCTATACCTTTAAGACATTTGTATGTAACAGATACAAAATTGATAGGCAAGAATGTGATGCGTTAATGTTAACGCATGATCCATTTTCACTGCTTATTATGCACATAGTGTATTGAACTCTTTTATATCGGAGAAGAAAGGAAAATTCATTCTTCCATTGTATGCTCCCTTTAAAGAGCCAACTTAAATATAGGGCAGTAGGGTAACAATTAGAACTAGGCCTGTCACATGTTAATCTAGTAGTGGGGGGCTGTGTGCGATTTGGTAAATTGGCATATCAAAAATAAGTTTAGTCTTTGTATTTGTGAAGGATTCGTCATGAAACTCACCTCCTCTTGCTGGGGATGACACCCATCTCTTCACTGTCCCCTTCTGGCGTCACTCTCCTGGCCTGCCACCACTCATCATCAGATGCATTGATGACATGGAGAATGTCTCCATATCGGAAACTGAGACCCTGACTGGGCAGACCACTATCCTTCGCTCTCTCGTAGTCAAACAGAGCCCTGGAGAGACACACACATAAAGTCAGTTTTACAGACCTGACAAATTTCACATCCATCTGTCAATAAATCAGCAACTCAAATCCGGCTCTAAAGCAGCAACGGCTGAATCCTTGGAAAACAGCGTGCGTGAAATGTGCAGATACGGCTGTCAGGGGTACAATAAGCGACATTAGCCATGGTAGCACATATCATAGCAGTAGGTTTGTGTAGAATTATGGTGATATGACAGATTAAAACAACAACCGAATGCTCCGTTCCAAGTGGCTGCAGTCACTTTAATTGCCTAGCCTGGAAGGGCTGGCATCATATCATATTACAGGCAGCCAACATCATATTATTTAAATATTTCTGTGGGGTACGACTAGTGTGGCATTATTCAGTCTGTTTTAAAAATGAAAGATGCACCTATCACTTCCTGTCCACTTTATAACATAAAAAATATGATAAAAAATCATAAATAAATACAGAAAATTATATGCTACCGGTTTAAAGTTTGGGGTCAGTATTTTTTTAAAAAAAGAAAGAAATTAAGCATCACAACTTCTTTCAACATTTTGAGCACCAAATCAGCATATTATAATGATTTCTGAAGGATCATGTGACTGAAGACTGGAGTAATAATGCTGAAAATTCAGCATTGCCATTACAGCGATAATAGCATTTTACAATACTACTGTATTTTGATCGGATTAATGCAGTCATGGTGAGCATAAGAGACTTTTAAAAAAAACATTAAAACATCTTACCAACCCTACACTTTTGAGTGGTTGTGCATTATTATGAAATTTAGGTCTTTCTCAGATGCCACAAACCTTGAAATATATTCATACATGCTAATTTTAACATTATTTTGACTGGAAAATCTCAGCTACTTCACAAAACAGAAACCCTCCACCAAGAGAGAAGCACAGACATGTGAAGCCCTTTCAAAAGGCAATCACAGTTTACTACGCGCTCCTGCCGTCTGAAGTGGGTGAATCACCTCTCATTCATCATCATATCAAGGAGCACTCCTTCATATGCACAGCCTAGCGTACAAAAAAAATCATGATTCATGTACTCATCCTTAGAAAGAAGCAGATTTTACACTGATGAATCAGGCTCAAAGACCAGATTTCAAGGGGGAAGGCATGTGAACTGGAGTCACCAACTGATCTTTAGTACTATGCACCTCAAAAATTAGCAGGAAATTAGGAGGTTTTGTGTTATTTTTGTGCTTTCGATTACATTCTCAAAATTCACCTGCGAAAATGTTCCAGGTTCTTTTGCTTATCTCTCTCCAGCAGGGCAGTTTGGATGATCACCCAATGAAACACAGTGAATGGAAGCACTATAGCTCAGGCACATGTGTACACAAAAGAACAGACAGGCTGTCACAGTGTCCAATAGGCCTAAGTACACAATACAAGAGATAATGGCCATTAAACTTCTCCCTTCAGGTGCATTTTGTCTCTGCAAACCTAGCAGAAACACTTTAATGCAAACCAGCATTCTTATTCAGTCTGGGTCAATGAAAATGAAGGTGAAAACAAATGAAACATTGTATGATACCTGGAGAAAACCATGTTAGCATTAGCATTTCTTCCCAACTCCAAACGCTTATAAATTTGTATTTTTTCCCCCACAAAATTACAGCAACTGAACGGCAATGTTCAACCATACACATGTTATTATTAAATATATTCTTGCTTGAATATAAATAGGTATTATAACTGTGGTTAAAATGCTTTATGAAACAATAGATTATATATATACACTAATATTCAAAAGATTGAGGTCAATAAGATTTCTTAATGTATTAGAAAGAAGTCTCTTATACCTACCAAGGATGCATTTATTTGATCAAATTGACAGTAAACAGTAATAGTCAATTATTTAACTATATAATATAGTAAGTATTATTACAATTCAAAATAACTTTTTATTTTTTAAATATATATACGTATATATGTATGTGCAAAAATAATTGCGATTATTCGCATCCAAAATAAAAGTCTGTTTACATCATATATTTGTGTGTGCTGTATATAATTATTTTGTATATATAAATACCTATGCATACATGTATATATTTAAGAATTGTTTGCGCTTAAATTCTGTATATATATATATATATATATATATAAATACATAATCTATATTATACAAATATAAATATTTTATATATGAATACCACATTTTCTTAAATATATACATGCATGTGTGTGTATTTATATATACAAAATAATTATATACAGCACACACAAATATGTTATGTAAACACAGACTTTTATTTTGGATGCGATTAATCGCAATTAATTTTTGTACAGCCCTATATATATATATATATATATATATATATATATATTTTTTTATTTACATTTTATCCTTCATATATCCTTATTTATTAAATTCACATTTTGATCCTTCCCCAGTACTATCAATGTTTCAAGTTGCAACAGTCATGCTGTTTAATATTTTTGTGAAATGTCTTTCAGAATTATTGGGTGAATATAAGGTTATATCAAACCTCAAACGTTTTAAACTCAACTCTATACACACTCCAAAAGTCAAATTTATATCTAAATGGAAAACTGAACATATTTTACAGGTCATTCTAAAAACTAAAAAAATAATTTCTAAAGAATCATAAATAATTTATGCATCTTGTGCTGGAATCAAAGAAAAAGTACACCAGCTACCCATACTGCACTGCTGTGAGCAGATAACAGCATACCAAAAATGATGGGTTGCACATAAAGTTTGGCACATATGCTACTCTAATGGGTGGGAATATTTAGGCTCATAGATGCATTATTCCACATCAAACACAATTTTCAGACAATTGATCTGCACTTCCAGCTGTATTTGAACACAAATCACTCTAAAAGTCATGTGATGTTGCAAATATGTCCATTAGGGTCAGTCACTGGTGCAACATTATTTTTAAAAGCAAGCAATAGCGCACAGTGTAATGGCGGCAAGTCACCATTACAAACCCATTACAAAAGACAAACTGTAATAAGGGCAAAAAAAAAAAAGATCCGCACTGCACACGAACAAAGTGTTATATTCAATGTCCTCGTTAACCCCTGCTTCATTAAAGTATAAAACACAAAGACGCACACACACAGGAACACATGCCTAGGGAAAAAAGCACATGTTCCCTATCATCGGCCAACAAAGACATTGCGGTTGTTATGGAAACTGCAAGCAACGTACAGTGCAGATAAATAATATTTTTTATATGTTTGTATGCTGGCAGGTTCTCAGCCCATTACAGTGAATCCATCCCTCCATGGCATCATTACGGCAATGATGCTTCTCAAGACTCTTCCAAAAAACAGCATGTGCTAGTGCAGTCTGCAGACAGAAATTCTCATTTACTGTCACATTACACATACTGAATAATGCTCACTGCAGAGCATTATGTGCCCTCACGATAATAAATAGAACAAAATCATGTCTGTGAATAATTCAGTGGGGAAATGGATTTATAAACTACCAAAATAAAGAACTAAAACATTCTGTAT